TTACCACATTCTCTCAGAAACCTTATATACGGGAATGTGTAGCTTCCAACTCACATAGTATAAGTGGTAAATCCGTTAGTTAATTACGCGAATGGCTTACCCAGGAATCACAATGGATTTGTCCCAGCGATATCGCATCTGCTGGACAAACTCATACCATAAGTGACAGAAAGCTTTAAGCCCGCCTAAGCTTTGAAGAACATTAGCGAGAACAATGGCCAACCTCCATACCAGCGAGTCTTCGGCGCAGGTTTTGAATCCTTTCAATTCCTGGTCCATATTTTCAAATATCTGAAAAATTTACCGGCGTGTGCTACAAATAATTTTAAGAAATTATGTGTGTATGTAATTTACCTTAAACTTTTTCTGCAAAGGTTCTCTCTCGTCTGTGGCTCCATAAGGAAAAGAGGAATCCTTTTCGGCGTCCGGAAATAGAAAGAACAACAATGGAACTAGCACATCTTTTTCAAGTGGAGGGCTTCCTTAAATCATATTTACAATAAATTCCAATGACATACATATACATATCTCTCCACATACCCTTGTTATTTCTGGTAGCTTGACTTAGCAACATTGAAATACTTGGAACTAAAGGTTCAGTCAAAAGGTCCAAAGGATTAGTTTTTGGCCCATCATGTAAAACAGCAAAACTTCCCAACAGATTATACACTGTGTTGTCATTATTAATGATTTCCAAAACCTCTCCAAGATAATCGCCCAAAAGACAGATGGGGTTCTTTGTAAATGAAATCGAACATTGCCATTGTTGAGCTTTTAATGGCTTGAAGTCTGAGTGGTTTTCTGAATCAATTATTGAATGCTCAGGCAAATAACTCCACAAGGTATTAAGGTATAGCGAACTGACCGGGTCTATCGACACTCCAAATGGGAGAGTAAAAAATGATTCCATGTCAATAATATCTGATGCACACTCTTGCCTCCAAACAAAGTTTCCAAAGTCTTGCAACTGATATGTGGCTTTGTAAGACACGAAGATTTTCTCAATCGTACATGGTGATCTAATTTTTGTTTTGAAAACATCTAAGAGGCCTGTCAAGTACTGACAATGATACGGGCCTCTTATTAAATGCACAGTATCAAAGTTCGTTCTAATGCCATTGCATTCATATACGCCGCAATACATTTTCTGCCACTTATCTCTCACCTGGACAAAAATTGGAAGATCAAGGACGTTGCTGGCCAAGACAGTCACAGCACTTAACAGAGTTTTCATCCTGCTTTCATTGTTGGTTTGTTCAACATCTCCCGTAGAACTGATTACTATGAATTTATTGACTCCATACCACTGGGCCAAACATAAGTGCTTATGGTCCTCAGACATCAGAGAAAAGTCAAACCATGTGTCCAGTACATGTTTTACCTTGTCTTCAGGACCTTCTAATAGATTATCTTCTAAATTCTTATGATAGTAAGTAAAATCAAAGTTCGTCTCCATGTACACAAGCTTCTCCGACTTGACTACCCATTGACTGGAACTAGGGCTTTGCTTCCGGTCTTCAGAGTTCCACTGATTCACTATTTCTTCCATATGGGCTACCAGAATCTCCCAGTCTGATGCTGTAGTAAAGTCCTCATGGTAAAACTCACTGTCGTCGATTTCTTCATTCATTTTGTTCGAGTTGCAATTTTGCTTTAAAGATCACTCCTATAAATTGTCTTGTCTAACTATAAGTTAAGCAGACTAGAAATCTGATTTATAGACAAGAGATAGAAGGATTGATCACAGACTACAAACTATTGGGCTCAGATCACAGAGGTTCTGATCATAGATGTTCTGACTGAGCTCTGTTCCATGTAAACTGATCATAGAACAAGGCTTATACTGATGATGAAACTGATGTAAGCAAACTTGAAGGCTGTGCCCACAGATTACCAAACTCTTGCTGTGCTCACCATAGAGCTATAGAGTAAGTAAAATAATAATATTGTATCATATTGTTTAAATGCTTGCAAAAGCTGGGTAGAACTAAACAAAACAAATCACAATCTCTGTCACAATGACATCTAATGAAAATAGGTGTCAAATTTTACTAGTTAAAGTGTAGTTATAACCTTGCCGCCAGTGGGCGCTTGGACACGAGTGGCTCATCCATAGATAAAGACGAGAGAAGAGGCTCATCATTGAATCCAAATGAAGGATCCATGACAGGCGTTACTGCGATGAGCCACTCGTATTCAACGAATCATGGGGATGTTCTGTGTTTTAAGGTTACAAAGCGTCTATGCCGGCGTTGCTTGTTTTTTTGCAACTAATATTTTTTTCAAAAAATGAATTTCTATTGCATGACCCCCTCTGACTTGAAAGCTGGATCCCCCTGCCTACACGGCACTGGGCAATCTCATTCTCAATGATAAATACCGGGTGGCTTGGACATGATTTTCAAAAGGTTGAAAGTGTTTTTTTCTGCAAGTTTATTGAAGATCTGCTTTTTTTCACTGAAATTGCTTTATTTTTGCTGTACTTTGAGGTGATGTATGATCAAAAAGAACGCTTAACTCGGACAGACATAAAGTACATGAMCAGCGGCCAAACTCMTAGMSAMAGTAAMATAATTTTAYYMCYKWACWTWC